CTATTTTATAATTATTATAAAATATTTATTTAAAACTATTATGTTATTTGTTCAACTATGTTAATTCTTATATTTGTTGTCACCACTATATTTTTCTTTGAGTGTGATTATATTATAAGAATTTTCGATAATATTTAAATGTTTCAAAACAGACAAAATTATACATTATATATTTGTATATGTTTAAACACGTTTTTGTATACGTTGTAAGATAAAACGTTTTCTTACTTCCATCTTTTGTTAATTAATGATGATTTACAATGAAATTGCGTGGAAGTACGTCATTAAAGTGCGTCGTGACGAATTTACATCTGTGAGTCACGTTGGACGAAGTCCAACTCGATTTCTAAGAGTCTTCCTTTCCTCATACGGAATTACGTGTATTCGGATACCCAGTCAACGAACTCAACATGCATTAATTACGTGATGCAACGCTTTCGCCCCACTGCGGATCTACTTGTGTACCTTCTCTTTCTTAATTGAAAATCAAAAGAGCAGCTTCTTTTTTAGCTCTTTAATTTTTATTACTTTTTTTAACAACTCTTTCTTTTTCTTCTCATTAAAATTGTAATAATAAACATCAACAAAAACAAAACATTGCAATATAACATACTGTACATACACACTTGTCAGTACGAAAAGAACAAATAATACTCTTTGCAGGTTACAGTATATAATAGGTTTCACTGAGCATAAAAGTACATATTACGTACATATTAAGTAACAAGATACTCCTTGCATGTATCTATAACTCATTAATAACATGATAACTGACATACTGATAGAGCACGTCGTTCATATTGAGAAAATCAAGTACGTTTAAAAGTAAAAGAAGTTATCTATTGTTAAGTTTTATGTTACTTTCAAATTATATCCCGCGGACAAAATTATTTCACTAATAAATGAATTGAATCGTAAGATAATATACGTATAGTCACGGAATTAATTGTCCACTATTATATCGATGATTTCTAAAATTTGTTGTTAATCTGTTGTTGTAATTTCTGTTGTTCGAATATATTAAAAAAATAATTTTACGCACTATTTTGTTTAATAAGTTACATGTATATTTAAACAATTAACTGAACTAATGTTGTCACACTAGTTTGGAAAATAGTCTAATCATCGATATAATGATGTACTGCCCAAATTATTAATTTCATGACTGTACATATGTTAATTATGCGATGACAAACATAATGAAAAAATTACAGACAAACATTGTTTTGAATTACAATGTAGTTTATTGAATTACATCTCGCAATGCATTACGAGTTACATTCCCACTATGTGTAAATCATCGCTAATCTTAAAGAGTACATTACGATCTTCTTTACGATCTCTTCGCCGGTAATCATCGCGTGAAACTTGTTCTCGTCATGTCGGCGAGAAATTAGTGGGAACATCGTGGTGACAATCTTTCCCTCCTCCATAAACGGTAGTCTTTATTCGCGCTCTCGCGGGAAATGAATACCAGGGAATTTATCACGGCGAAACTCGACGGCGCGATGATACCGTCGGACAGTCGGCAATTTACAAGGCGTGATTTAGGGGCACGCGGTCTGTAACGCTTTAATACGCGCGAAAGTTGCGCCCGCCTCTCTATCCAACTTCTATACGCGCATAACGTGAGAGCGCAGCGCGCTGGCATGCGCCTTGCGCCATCGTCTGTTCCTCAGTTCCTCTATTCCTCTCTCGTTCTGTTTGCTTTTACGAACCGCACGACACGCGTGCGAATGCGCCTCACGATTGCGGAAAACAGGCGAGTATAACGCGTAAGTGCGTCAGTGAATGAACGCACGTGACCGAATGTCGTACAATTGCCGACTCCGCAGGGTCGAAAGAATCAAAGGATTCAAGAGTAAAAAGACGATTCTTCCCAGTCCGTGATGATCCTTGTAATTTGTGCTGTGATTTTTGTCTACGTTCTACCTTTTTCCTCCCCCCTTCTCTTCGATCCACAAGCATTTATGAAATCACCGAAATCGGCGAGTTGTTCCTTCGCCACATTGTTGCAATTTGCAATAATGATCACTCACGCGGCGTATTCCCGTTGGCAGTCCATGTCGGAAATTATACGCTACGTTGGTGTTGCGTGCACGAAAAGAATAATGCAGGAGTCGCGCATCAGCAGCAACCAATAACTCGTACAAGAAGTAAAGAAAAACAGAGATAGTCTACGTGGGCGTGCATAATAGTTATTGGATGCGGTACTCCATTGCTTCGACGAAACGGTAATTGAATCGCACAGCTTCCTATCGCGGAAGTTTCTATCGCGATTCATTCGTTATGAAATCCAGTATATCATGCATGACACACTAGCCTACTACTCGTCTTCATACGAGAGAAATGTGCTCGCGCATACTCTACGATTCGAGAAAATATTGAAATAGAGGTAGTCATTATGTGTCGATTAAGGTGCCTTAAAAATCATGATTCCCGTTTTATGCATTTGTCCTATCTCGTTTCTCGTTATGCAAAAACCGCAACATCGACAAACCCAATTTAACGCACATTAGTTAATCGTGAGTTTCTAATACGGCCGTTGATAGCTTCATGTCCAATTGATTAATGAGAAAATCAGTTTCGCTAATCAGGCTGTTAGGCGTATACATTTGATACAAGACGAATATCGCGTTTTGCGGACTATTTTGAAATACGGTTGGATACAGAATTGCAGAATTACGCGTAAGAATTACAACCATCTATGATTTGTTGTACCTGATTGTGGCTACAACCGGTGCAGTACAGTTAATAAATCCGCTACTCGCGCGCTATTGTATTCAGAGCGATCGTAATTTCGATATTTCTCTGCGCTTATTAATAACTACCTGACAAATATATTGAAAGAAATATCGCATATCGTGATATACTTTCGCTTATTATAAAATCGTTCAAGTATTTTATGATTTCCTACGCGTCACTATGTGAATCTAACGTTCGCAATGCGTGCTCCGGGTACGCGTTGCGTGTTGTTGAGGATTCTTGCAATTAGGAATCATCGCTGGGCGAAGTTGGAAACTTCGTAGGTCGCGTGGGTAAAAATCGGCAGTGTCTGGCTGCCTCGGGGGCAGCCGATTCCAGGACGATTCGCCGCACGTAAAATTGCAAAGTTTTACCGTTCGCGAAATGGCGCTCTCGGCCTCGCAAGACCGTTTTCTTGCTTGTTCATATTTTTCTTTTTTTGTCTGTTCTTGCACTTCTCGTGATGCAAGACATTTATGGAAAATATTTCGATGATGAAATGAAGAAACGAGAATCGAATCTTCGTGATACATAACATTATTATTAATATTCATCTTAAAACTGGAGTTAATCATATGTATATTGTATCCAGGCAACACATAATCTAAAATCAGGATATAAAACATAAAAGACGGTTCGCAAGAATCATCTAAAAGAGGGTTTAAAAGATATCTTATATTCTAATTTTAGACTTTATGTTGTCTATACTAAGTCTATATATATATATATATATATATATATATCTTCCTTTTATCGATAATTGTGCATATTTAGCGTAATGTGCACGTAGCATACACTGAGAAAAATATTTTAGTATATATATTGAATTTGTTGATATGTGACTAATAAAAATTTTCTCACTTTTTATTAGTAACGTATCATAGTTGTACATACCAAAACTTTTCTCTCAGAGTATAGTTTATGTTACACTACAGAATGGATCTCAAAAATAAATGCGCATTTATTTCTGAGATAAAATTGAAGTGATGATATGAATGATTTTTCGATTCCGAAAAGCTTTTGAACTCGATTCGAGTTCAAAAACTTTGATTGAGTTGTCTTAATATTTCAATCTAGTAAATAATATTTTAGTACTTTCATTAATTTCTTGCGAAAAAAAGGATTTTGATAATTAATATTAACCATCCATAATTCTTAGTTAAAGAGCATTGTTAAAGTCGTTAATTTACAAAGTGCTATCGTAATCATCCTAGGGAGAACTGATATTTATAGACATTTTACAATTTAAATAAACTAAAGTGCTCGTAATGTATGATTAATCCACTATTTAAATTAACCGTAGAATTGATAAAAACCTGCTTGGCAAAAAGTTAAATGATACACGGCGATTCCTTCCGCGTTGAAAATATGCAATCGTTTCTATTTTACTTTTTGGCATCCGTGTTCCTCGTTAAAAGCTGTCATTATTCACGCGCTCTAGAGACCCCTGACTCGGAAATAGCGTTATATCTATCACATCAATCATATTGCTGAGTATGCCTCTATATTAACGCGACTCATTATTTCTCTGTCGCCCGAGAGTTAACTGCATGTATACGTGTCTCTAACTCGCCCAAAGGTTAAATACCAGTCGTAAGACGTTTTCCTCGGATTTTATCTCGTAACCGATACGCCCAACATCCAATCCTACAATCGCACCTACTAGCATTGCAGATAATGTAATTTCCCCCGCGAACAGAGTGAGATTAGTATGATGCTACTCGTACATCTATGATATCGCGATCGTTTACATTAGTACAAAAAATCCACGATCATGTATCACAAGATGTCGAAAAATTAAATTTTAAATTTCATTCGAAGCAAGGATTAAAACAGGTATAATTTTTATAACCTAAATTAGCTACAGAAAAATATGTCCGCACGCTAATCACATTTGCATTTTGTAACACAATTATTATACATAATTTTTATATGTTTTTGTTTCGAAATCTAGAAACAAGTCTTCGATGCTATATTTAAGTAAATTCCGAAATAGAAAAGAAGAAATTATTGCGCGCAGAGATAGTATTATGATTTAATAGTATTACAGAAGATTAAATCTATCGATTGATAAAATGTTCACGTAACATTTAATTTGCATGCACGCGTGCTACCTCATAAATATGCGAAAATGCTGCACTCAATTCTGTTATACTTAATCGTAATCGCTTAATCTATTCTATGCGACTGTCTAATCACGAAACTTTATCTCAGGGGACGTCGAAGCTCATGATTTTAATTTTCTGCTCACTTAGGTGTATCCCGGATGGCGGGGACGTTGGTTACACGATGACGGAGTTGCAACCGTCGCCGCCAGGATATCGTGTCCAGGATGAGGCCCCAGGCCCACCTTCCTGTCCCCCGGGATCCTACAAATACGCGAGCCACGGCCACGGGAGCGAGGCTGCCAATTTCAAGAGTGCCACGTCGTATTCTCAGGAAGGCTATGGCCTTAAGCAGAGTCCGCCTCGGTCGGTGGCTCCTAACGAATATTACCGTCGCAGAAACGACGGGCGGAGGTCCAGTACGGAGAATGATCACGAGGGTGGTAACGGCAGCAAGAAGGTCACCGCGGTTACCAGTTACAACGACAGTCACAAGAAGAATACTCCGGGCTATAAGAACGATTGCGGGTATGTGCTCACGATTACGTGCGCGCTTTTTTCTCGATGTTGGCTCACGCAACTCTCTTTTCCTGCTTCTTTTTCTGCTCTCTCTTTCTTTCTCCCTTCGATCCTCTTCCAACACAAATTATCGTAAATAATGATTATCCGGTGTATAAAATAAATTATCGATATAAAGTGGTTTAATTCGAGTACTGCAATAATAAGATTATTCGCAGGATAATAGGATAAGATTTCCGTCATAAGATTTATTAAATGCAAATTAGTATATATTTAACTAGAAGGATATGTCTTTGTTTTTTTTAATATGAGTATATTGTCGAGAAAATAATAACGGAACAGAACATTGGGGAAATATCCCGATTACCGCACAAGTTACTCGTTGACAGTACCATAAATTATACAGTCCACACATCCCGGTAATAAAGTGGTTCAATGACATTGCGCTCAGAAGCACCGCGGTCGAGAATGCCGTATTACGAGTGATTCATTGAGCGAGGTGCTAATAAACAGACGATTTTGCGTCCATGCGTAATTGTTTCCACGTAGAGAGGACGTTGCGTCACACGTGTTATTTCTGGTCTCTCCGACTGTCACAGACGTGCAATGTGCAATTGGCACTGGTTTTAACCGCGACGTTTCTATCTGTCCCATTAGATACAACGAGAACCTCGGATTCAACAGCTTCACGCTCCCTCTTAATGAGAGAGACGAAGCTTCGCCACCACCGACGCCACCAGTTAGGGATGCCTCCAGCCTCAAGGGCGTGTGTTACGGCCCGGGACACGAGAAGTATCCTTCGTGGCCAAGCGCGCCAGAACGACACTCCGACGAGGATATCCACAGCTCAGGGCACAGCGGTTCTCATCGCTCCAAGTCTTGGACCGATCACACCAACTATCCGAAGGAGAAGCCGGCCCAATACACCAGACCACACACGAAGAGGCCCAATCCTGCATTCACGCAGCAGGTAACTTGTAAAGCCTCTTCGTTTTCCGTAAAACGATCGCATCGCTTATACAATCTGAATGTAGACTGTGCATTTGCATAGCGACGTAACGTGATTTACTATTAATTGAATACATAAAAGATATCGCACGCAAGTACACGATTTCAATTTCCGTTATTTTTGTAGGTTTTATTATTAAATATTAATACTCATTTGCTATAAAAAGAATAAGCTTTACAAGAATTAATCGCGAAAATTAATAGGAACAGGTAACGTGTAATACGAATGGATAAATAAGATGGTCTTATTATTAGCTTCTAGAAATTATGTATACATAAATTACACTTATTATATTAACTTAATAAAGATATTTTCAATTTCTATCATTTATTCGATTGCATTAGCTCGATTTCTTTATAGAAATCCTTCCTGTTGTAGCTCAGAATTCGTCGTGTCAGCCGTTCTCGATTGTCTTGCCGGTTGCAAAATCGCATCTCGTTTACATGACACCAAAGTACCTCGGCGGTATAAACAAGTCACGAAGCAACAGAGCTTATCGAAACACTTTCCTTTTAAATGAATTACAAAGTTTCACGTCGACACCATCCATGTGTTTAACAATTAAGGGGACTTATTCGGGCGAGCGTTAAGAATCGGGATCACCTCGGGGCAAGACCTTGGTGTATATACTGTGCTGCGCCCTAAAACGATGTATGCAATTAATCTCCCACACCCGCACCCTCCTTTCTCTCAGTGACATAATCGCCAGTGTGCTACTGGCTTTCTCAGAAGTAGGCCGTGGTATTTTGATGGTCTGACCCGCATCGCGTCGTAAATTTCGGTATATACCAACTCCCGGTATCAAGCAAAGAGAAGATTGTGGATTAAAAAAACAGAGAAAGATGCTATAGTTAACCAAGTTATCTTTTTTCGTTGACCATGAAATTTTATTAGACCGGCATTTCTAATTTAGAACGCACGCAATTAGCTCCCTCCTGATCTATTTTGAGATTAAGACTTTTTTACTATTTCTCTTGTCGAGGAAATGCGAGAGTGAATAAGATCGTGAGTCATAGAATACTGCAGCTGAAAGCTAATCGTTGCTAAGACATAAAAGGCGTATATATTGCCGATGCAAAAATATTTTTCAATCGCGTAAATTTATATAAGTATTTTATTAATCCAATTCCCTGTGTTACTTTATTGTAAATGTAAAATGTGTAATAAAAATTACTTTGTCAAGTGCCACTTTCTAAATACATTTTCTATTACACTGCAAAAATTGAATATTGCAGTTGAAGACGGTAATGGAGCGTTGCGAGAAGATCCCAGCTGAGACTTACGAGTCACGCAACAGAAGTAGTGTTGAAGAAGAGCCGAGATTGTGGCCGCGCGTGGATCGTGAAGGCAAAGCTTTGGGAGATGCGGAATATGTAGTTCCATCACCACCGGAACGAGAACAGCAGTCTCAGACTTTGAATCATGTTGATCTGGAGGCTTATGTTAGAAGCTACCAGGACCCTCAGGTGTCCCAGGTAAGAAGATTCAGTCGAATAATAATCGAAAAATAATAAAACAATTTCGAGCCGAAATATTCTGAGAATACAATATTAAAAAACATACAACAGCTTAACAGCTGTAAATATTTTTTTTCTTATTTTCATGTGGAATTTATTTATTTAGGTGGACCTCTATCGCGAAACAACCTTAACGCAAGCTGGTCTTGAAGAATATACGAGAGTGCAGCATTCTCAACAAGCTAGCTATGCGCAATCCGAGGGATATCATAGCTATGTATCCAGCGTGGATTCTACAACGAACACACCGTTTCTCGACAGGCAAGATTATCTTTACACATCATTTTATTAACATCAGACACCATGCGATGTTTTTGTAATGAGAGATTGCTTCTTTTATCAGATTGAGGAGAGACAGCGAGGCAGTAGCACAAAGACCCACGGCGTCTTGGGAAGATACTTCTCGAGAGGGTAGAGACAGCGTAGTGACTACGTCTAGTGGTAGCGCTTCTAGTAGCGAGACTTTGAAATGGCACGGTTCGATGTCGGATGTCAGCGTATCGAGCGGTATGCCTCCTCGTCAAGTAGTAGCAGATCGATGGCATCATGGATCTATGTCAGATGTTAGCAGTGTAAATGGAGGGATCATAACTCAAAAATCCAACAATGTTTGTCACGAAAAGTGGCAGAGTTCCATGAGTGATGTCAGTACGTCCGGGATAGGTCCGCCAGGAAAAGGAAGGCACAGTCTTGACAAATGGCAGTCTTCGATGAACGACCGAAACAAGCAGGGACAGAGTAGGCCCAGCTTGCCAGCGGTGATCGGTCAATGTACGACGTCCGCGTCGATCAGTGATATCTGCCAAACGTCGACGATTCGAGACAGCAAGTGGCAGGAATCTAATCTCGATGACGATTCGCTGAATGATAGATCACAAACGAATCAATCATGGGACAATTCGAGCAGTCTGGAGAATGACAAGTATGTTCAATCTATGCCGCAAAGTCCTACGTGTCAGCAAGTTGGAACAGAAAGTCCACAGAGTTCTGAAAATTGGAATCCTATACACGGATCGATGTCCGACGTGAGTCAAACTAATGGAATCCAATGCAGCAAGCAGCTGATTGCTCACAGTGCCAGAGTGCAGACTCCTCAACGACATCATTCGGAAAGCGTGCTGTATTTGGATCGCGAACGTAGCAAACGAAAACTTTATCCAGTCAGTACAACGCAACCACAAGAATCCACGCAATCTTCAAGGTAAATTGACGTATATATTTTTCTACAATTATTATACTTCTTTGTTACAATTATGATCTTAAACTACAATATGTGCAACATTTCTTTTTTCTAGAATGACCTTAAATTCACCGCCACAACCGCAGCTTTCAGTAGCTGAACGCATTAACGAATTAGAAAAGCAGCAACAACAACAACAAATGCGTTACACTTATTTGGATCCAGAAAAACGTCATAGGGTATCCGATCCTACATTGAAAGCAATTCAAAAGAAAGCGCTATTATCTTACTACGAAAGACATCATCAAGCGTCTTGGCGATCGGAACCTCAGTTGGCGCAAGGTCCTGCGCCAGCTTCTCAGAGTCCTCAAAGTCCACCACCTCAGCCTCCTCCCCGACCGAGACCTTCCTCATCCCGAAGAGCCAGTTCAGCATCAGATTATGTCAGTGGAACGTGGAGAGAAAACGTTAGCAGAGCTCAGAATCAAGGAAATGGTGACTTGCCGAGCCCTAAGCATCAACATAGCAACAGTTGCAGTAGTCTCTCCACGGATTTATTAGGTCCTGTGATAGTTGGACCAGCTATATCGATAGATGACTGGGTGCCCGAGAGACCGCCTAAAAAGCCACACCTGAGAACCGCTTTCAATGAACGTATACCTAGCCCCGACTTACCACCTCCGTCGCCACCGACAGTCACAGAAAGTGAGGTCCACGATTGCGACGATCCATTGCCACCCCCACCACCTGAACTCAGCGAGGATTGTTTTACAGAGCGTAAATCTAACAACATTCATCACCAGACGGAGGAAACGGTAAAGATCAGTCGTGAAAGGTCATGCGAACGACATAAGTCGGAAAGACATTCCATGAAAAGATCGAAACATAACGCCAAGAGAGATCACGATAAGCCCACCGGTAAATCTTCGCCGAATTCGACGAAAACAGGCGTACAGGAACAGGAACAGCATCAATTCGTGAGATCCACCGCGGCATTGAAACACGTGGATTCTGAAATGGTACTGGAGAATGGAGTCTCGGCTGGCTTCGCCACTCACAGGATGGTAGTCACGGGACGTTCCAGTTTAAGATATCCTTCTACCCAGAAACTTATGGTGAATGGGAGGATAGCTCCGACGAGGAGAATATCCGAGGAGAGATCTTTTTCAACTAGACCTCCGGCGCAACTACCTGATCTCATATCGCAAAGATACAGTGATTCCGGGAATCAGAGACCTGCCCCGCAAGTTCCCGTGGAACCGAGGATTATTCGACAGGAATCGATGCGAATTGACGGGACGCGTGTCGACGCGTCCGGTTTGTTACGAAACGATTCTGGCCAGAGATTAGAATCTTCTTCAGGTCAAAGACCGCAACCTCAAGTGCCTAAAAATGCAGATAAGAATGCTATTGCGAGTCCATCTTCGAGACCGAATTATCTGCCAGTGACAGAAGTCGCGAAGAGTCCGTCCAAATACCTGAAGAGCGGAAATCACAGTTTTTCCATTGGCAGCCCGGTAAAAACGGGATACGAAGCTAGTTCAAAACTGTTTCCCTCGGAATCAAGCCCACAAAAATATCACGAACCCCCGAAATACGTTCCTAATCACCATCAACGTTCTAATGATGTAACGCAGAGGACTACGCACGGTTATTATGCACTACCGCCGAAGTACGTTGATATCCCTAAACAGAAACCTCAGCCTCAATGTCCGACGGAGAAATATAGCACGGATTCTCCTAGTTCGCCACCGCCGCCTTTAGCACCACGGCAGAATATATCGGGTAGGAAGTCCTTGCCGCCTCCGCCGAGACCTGCACCTCCGCACTCTCACCAAGGGTAAGTTTAATTGTAACAATTTTTTTATATTTGTTCAACGTCTTTGTCAATTATGTTATACTTACCATTATTAAATTATTATTGATAACTGTCACGGTCAATTAATCAGTCACAAGTTGCGTGATTGTACATAACGGTAAATTCAACTTGTCGTTATTTTAATTTCTCGAGAACCATTAATGGTAACGATCATCATTAATGGTACCATCAAGATTTATTTTTATCAGAACTTGTTAATCTTTGGAGACACGAGCTCATGATTTTTTCCTGTGTCGTTCATTCTGTAATTATCAATTATTAAAGGTCTTGAACGGGTTAAAGCTTTTATTGCTAAAATGGCATCGCGTAATTTAAGATACGGGCACACGCGATCCCGTAATTGTAAAGTAATTGAATGGTAAATAACCGCCTCCGTTGCTAGGTATAGCATCATCATTATAATCCATGTATCCGCAATGTCCCGCCGTACATTGCGCTTATCCCACGATCGATCAATTGAATTAGAGATAACTGTAAGTACACCTTACTCTGCGTGATCGATACAGCTTGTGAGACTGATCGACAGATCGTCCGGAAATCCGAAGCAACTGATCTTGAAAACCACTCTGTGGAGCGTCTCTTGTGCGTATCAATCAACGATCACGCACAATCTGGAATCATTCGTATCGCCAACATAATTTGTGATTTGCTGGCTCGTCTCGCTTCCTTGACATAGATAGGTTCCATATAATTTTCAGTAATTTTCTGTAATTTCTTTCAAATGAGAACAAAACATATAATCGGCAGAACAATATGTTATTTACGTAAATATTATATCAAAGAGAAGAATACACAAACATATTAATCGCCATATACATTTAACATGAAATTAACATTTAGCATGAAACATCTAGTATCGTCAAAATTACATTTATATTTCTAGTATAATTTCTATCATATAACTACTTTACAAACTATTTACGTTTCGTGTTATTTAAATATCATATAAAATCTCGATGTAGAACATTTATAATCAACAATTTATAATGGCGTAAGCGCCATCGCAACGTGAATTATGTCATTAGAAAATTTAATAGCCACATCCACATTCTCATAAAACAGAGTTATAAAACGTTGTCTATCACAGGTATGGAAATCAAAGGAAGAGGGCTAACGAGATACTGAACGAAAGAAACACTGTTTTTGTAAACTCTCCACTGTGTGTCGCAAACTCATAAACCCCCAAGGATCGCAATATCCGCTACTGACAGTTCGGCGAACTCGGATTACCTGGGGTTATTAATTATTTTCTCGTTCGTTTGCTCGAGCGAATCGCATATATTATCATGAGATTATCATTGCAAATCTAACGGTACCCAGGCTGATTTACGAGCATGTGACTTTCCCTGAATTACGTGCAACGTGGCTCTTAAATGACACGGAGACGCGTTACGAGCAATCCTTTCCATACCTCTCGAATGAGGTGGAGGTATACTGAACGCATAAGATTTACTTATCGGGCTATATATAACCATCAGTTCGCGCGGAATCGGTATGTTGACTGGGAGATCGGTGTTTCATAAAGAAGAGAACCATGCCACTCTTATGTGCAGGGTAAGGTCACAAACCATATACGCTTTCGCGAGAATGTAGAAGAATCACGCTCGTTGAATACGATCGATGTATGTATGCGAGGATATGTTATTAAATTCCAACTGGTGCGACGTCGAATGTATTCTTGAAAGGCGAGAAGTCGGGCAAGGACGATTTCGCGCGACGCGAGTAATTGTATGAAAAGCAGAGCAAGAATACGTTTCGCGAGTCAACGGTGGAACGATGATAATGGCAAGGCGCGTTCTGTGACCCGACACCTCTTTATTCATCGATCCATGATTTTTCGGGCCACGAAGCACGCGAGAGACTATTGAGAAATAGTCTGAAACGATTCGCGCGAAAATGGAAAGACATTACCGGCAGAAGATGTCAGTAATAAGGTAGAAAAGAGAGTACGAGTGTCTAAACAATCGACTAATAATTATTGCACGCCGGACTAAAGTTCTGTCCGGTTGGGATACAGGATGTAGGCTCGATCTCACGGGACGATAACTCTTTTCACCTTTCTTTTGTTTCCTTCTCGCTCTGATTGGGTGACTACCTGCAACGCACCAGCGACTAACTACTCGATACGCACTCCGGCTAAGATGTTTCAAACCCACGACACGGTTCGACGAACGGGCATTTGACTTGCGCCCGACCTTCGACAGGAAGAGGAGATTACCCAGCAGAAGAGTGTCAGAACCGTTGCACGTTTCTCTCTTTTCTCCTACCCTGCACTTTCTTTCTCCTTCCCGCGACTGCGCTAGATATTCGAGAGCGCAACGGTTTGACCTTTCGAATAAACCAACCTATGAGGCAGAAATGTCAGAAAAAAGGTTACCCTGTGCCACCACGAGCGTGTTGGCTTGTTCGTTGGTGTTCGATCATGTTTTCCACAGTGTCGATGATCAAAAAGATGAAGTGCGGCGCCATGAATAAGCCTCACGATAAATTAATAATGAACTGTGACAGTGATCTCATGTTTATTATCGACATATAAACATAAATATATCTTACACGACATTTGCATTAATTGCGCAAATTTTGCATAATGAAAAAGGTTCGAAATCGCAGCGCATTACAATTCGTAAATCTGACGCGAAATTGAATAACGATAAATGCCTTTTTTCATTCGCACCACAAAAATAAACAAGAATAATCATTCATAAAGAGGCATTCTTTTAATTGCGATTCAGATTTATGCGAGAGACGGACATACTCTCTTTTTTTCCGATAATCGGAAATGGCGACCCGCAGCGTTATCGCTAATCCTCGTTACGCGAAACACGAATCGTTTTCATTTTTCGTCGCGATGTCGCGATCGGCATTGTACCTGCGGTGCGATAATTGGCCTTTGAATTTCTGTTCGAACATGGAGCCTATACTGCTAAGTGTAATGCAATGTTTCCTTTGCCAAGAAGTCAATTCGATTTGATGCAAAGTTACGTGCGGAATAATAGAAGAAGAAACGCTAATTCGCCAATGTCTTTTGACATATTAAAAATTAAGCATATTAATTTATATTTAACAATTTTTTAGTCACTATTAAAATCGTCACGAATAAATATAATAATTTTGTTCTCTACTTGTACTTTTTTTTTCTTATTTTCTATCTTGCCCGTAATTCGCGAAATACATTTATCTCCGATATTAAATATTTCTAAAAATAAATTATAGTATATTTGTATAAGAAATATGTATATTCATTCTATTTACTAAATCAGCTAAATAATATAAATTATATTCTACCAAAATTTTATTATTCTTATAAGGATTTAAATATTGTTTCGATTAGAATTGCTAAAAGTTCTAAATCCGTCATTGCATTATAAATCTTGTTTTACCTTGTTAATTCTTGCAACTACATACGTAGTTATATCGCAGAAACGGAGTAGTCGACGATGACAACACGCAAAGTATCACTTACACTGGTTGCTCTTGTCCATCGACATCTTTCACTATGCTATATCCGATGATATCAAGCAAAACTCATCAAGAAAAGAGCGCATATCATGTGGCTTGAGTCGAGTCACAATGAATTTTCGCCTCAATTAAATACATCTTTCACTTGATTCAGAATAAATTTATTATTTTTATATCTCAAGGACTGGGAAGATATCCTCGTGAAAAGAAAAAAAAATAATAAAGGATAAAGACTTTTATGCACTATTGATGTCACACGTTGTACTTTTTTATCGATTACTCTTATCTACAATCGACAGATATTTCCTAGGTGTGGTCGTAAAAATATACACTTGATATTATATAATATATCATTTCTCGGATATAGAAAGGAAATAAGAGAGTAAAACTTTGCGCCGCGTTTATCGAGATAATTACCACAGAGATGCGATAAATCGTTTCACCAATAGTGCATAAAAGTGGTGAAACTTAATTTTTGCGGACCGCCCGCTGCCATTTCGCCAGCAATGGAAAATATTATTGAACTATAATTATGAAATTAGAGTAAATACGCGTTGTATCGCATTATCGACGTATTTGCGTCATTCTGTGCATTCATTTATTTTGACGGATAACTTAACTGCCATTAAATATTAAGCAAACAGTTACTTTAGCATCCTGCATTAACGTAAAAGAAGAGCAAGTGCATTAAGACTAAAAACTTTCCATACTTCGTAACATCCTTTTTCGTATATCTACAACGAGACTCATTTGATGACTAGTTTGGAAACTGGGTTAATGGTATGCAATCGTAGCTAATTCCAAGCGCATTTAGCAGTGATAGTGGTAATACCGGTAGTATTCACATTCATTAACGAGAGCAGAATTTGAAAGGGAAGAGTGGTTTGTCAAGTCTCCAAATATTGAAACATTTGATTTACAAATATGTATAGACAATCTCGTATAATTTAATATCGAAAGATATTTCATGAAAACAAAATAATGATACGCAGCGTTACAACATTCATTGCCATATGATTAGTAAATATAATTTAGATGATTAGTAAGTACGATTCAGAAAGTTCTTGTAACTATTAAATATCTCCATTGAAGCGAAACTCAGACAATATTCTCGTATTTCAGAATGGAACTTTCGCATAACATACAACCAAAATAAACCTTTTTTCTGCATCATCAGAGATGAATGGTTGCGATAAACATAAGAAATCACGTGTATATGTGTGACTATCGTGTGTATATACAATATATATACAAAAAATATTTTAAAATGTAAAAAAAATTATCACAAAATAATTTGAAAATAATAAATAATTACAGCAATTTATGTCTAATTAAGCGTCATACGGAAGTTTATTTTGCTCGACTTCGATAAGCTACCAAGCACATCGTCCTGTTTGTGACTTACAACTATCCACCGAGAAACGGTAGCGCCAAGGAAATATAAGTGCAACGACGACGTGACAAAGACGAACGACAAACGAAATAACCAGCGAAGACAATAG